CATCTTTGATACTGCATTGTGTCTTCACATCTGGATGTGATGGTCTCTGTTACACCGCAACTAGACATTCCCTTAAATAAGAAGCCATGCAACACTTTAATGGCCAATTTTTCCTCAACTTTTCACCTTTCTGCATCATGCTGTATTCTAATTACTGGTGCTATTTTTTGTTCAGCAGCGCCCTCATCTGGTGCTCAAGTTTGAAATCTTCACTGACCAGTCTTACATTGCTTATAGTCCAGTCGCTGTCAAAACCTAGAAATTCCACATTAGAACTCCCAACTGGGCTCTCATCTACCTGTTTGTTTTAAATCCCAAAGTCCCAACCCCCATGTCAGGCTTTGTTATCTTTCGCAGTAACCTCGGGGAAGCTTCACTCATCTCCTTCCCATCCACCTGGAGGTCTCCTTTGAAGGCAGCATTCTCCAAACCCCAGAACTGATCCTTTGGTTTTTCCAAAGTGCTTAGAGTACTGGTTTTATTTTTTCCCTCTTGAATTAAGCACACGATCCCTGGCCCTCGGAAACAACAGCAAACACACCCTTTCTACTATTCCTGCCCCATCTGCCCCTCCACCCTCTCAGACAATGTTCTCCCAGAAATTCAATAGGGCTAAAACTTTCCAACTTCACATACTCAAGATTTTTGTCTTCCTGAATATATCCCTACTTCCTACCCTAGAATACTAGAACTCTGTTCATTTTGGGAGCTCAGCATTTTTTTAACAGTATTTTTGTTCCTGAGTAACTTCTTTACTCTGGCTATTTCCTGCCACTACATAATCCATACCTTTGAGTATCATGTTCCCCCATCAGTAGTGTCTAACTGCTCATCAAATATTTTTTGAGATAACTGCAATTATGAGCCTTCAGGTTTCTCTGAAATCCCTCAAAGAAATTTCAACATTATAGGAAGTATTTTACAGCGGTGAGTTGTTCATTTAAAAACAAACAAACAAACAAACAAAAAACCTTCCTTGGTATATGACTCTGTTCCACTAAAAGAAAAGAATGTCCTCTCGCAACACAGTTCTTGGGAAATTGGCCTTTTCATCAAGTATGGGCTATCACATGTTTTCCAGTACATATTTACATATTGTTATTATGCAATTTTGTCTAAAATGGTTTCAGAATGGTTAGTTCTGGTCCTCAAAATTACAAGTCGCTTTATTTACTAGTTCAAAAAAATCATTAACGTTGGGCACATAAGAACAAATCCTACCTGTAAGAGGTGGACCAAATAATAGCATATTAATTCCCAAAGATGAATAGAAACATGGTTTCCTCATTTCTATTGGAAGCACTGCATTGTTTTAAATGTTGGGTCAATAAGTCATATTCCTAGTTTATGTGATTCAAGTTATCTTCACTTTATAAGAAAGCTAAGTACTTAAAGGCTAAAATCTAGATAGCTGTCATACCATTTCTTAGAACTCATGTTAAAATTCTCCTCTGCCTTTACTTTATTCCTGACCTAGGCAGTTATTTTTACATTAGTATTGGTTCATTATGAATGATTCATAGGAGAAGGTTGTTTGAAAACAACAATGTTTCAAAACTAGAAAAGCAGGATGTGAGGGTTTAGCAAGTCATGGGAAGGGATTTGAATTCATGAGCTTCTGAATCAGATGTCAGATGAATATATCCTTGCTTTCCTTAGCAATTTATAGTGATCTATTATATTACTGTGGCCAAATGCTAGTTGTTATAACATAACACCTTAGGCAAGATGGAAATTTACTACTGCTCTAGTAAAACAAAACCAAAACGTCAATGATGGAGGCATCAACAGATTCAGATTTCTGGAGAAAGTGTGTTCCTCGTGGTTGCTGCCTTCTATCGGCCCTCACATAGTGGAAGGGGTTAACAGGCTCTCTTGAGCCTTCTTTATAAAGATACCAATTCCCACAGAGGCTGCCCCCATCCACCCTCCGACCCAACTCTTCGCACCATCAACAGATTGAGGATTAGATTTCAACTAAGAAGTTTGAAAGGACATAGACATTCAGCTCACATGAGTTGTTCAGGTAATATGCTTAGCAAAATAAAGTTCCATAAGCAGAACATCTCTCTCACTTACACACGGAACTAATGTTTGTCATGAGGATCAGAAACCAATTTGATAGCTGGGATGACACTTGAGTGAATTATGCTAGTGAAAACGCGAGATAATCTCATAAGTTTACAGAATACATGTCACTTAAACATTTCTGAAACAAGAAAATTATGGTTATGGAGATCAGTGGCTGGCATGGATTAGGGCTTGAGAACTGGGTGCAGGAAGGAGGTGGGTGGGACTACAATAGGGCCTCAGGAGGGAGCCTTGTAACAGGTGAATGAAGGTAGGACATGAAGCTACAGAGGAGGTAAAACAGCATAAAACATACACCTATCTATCTGTCCATGCTGAAATCTGAACAAGCTCTGCAAGCCATGCCATGTCAGCTGCCTAGTTTTGATACCAGGAGAACTAGTTAGTCAAGATGTTCTCATTGGTGAAAGGTCAACATGAAAGTGGAATTTGGCCTTGATTTTTTTTTTAGAATGTCCTGTGACATTATGATTATTTTGAAATGTTTTTAAAAAAGTAGCCATTTGCTTGACACCTTGGAGGAGGTGTGGCAGACATATACGGTGGTAACAGAAGCAGGTAAAGTAGTACAAACTTGGAGGGGAACTGTGGTTGACATGGAAGAGATGGTGTCTTTAGCTCCTACCATGGGCTCAATGCCTCGGGCGTTACTCAGTCTTTTGAATGCAGTGCTCTTGTTTTGATTAAAAAAAAAATGCTGGAAATCTCAAATTCTGATAACAATCTGACTTTTAAATATGTGCCACTGCTAAACTTCCTGAACAATAAAAATATGCCAAACACTCACTAGGGGTGCTGGATTTGATCTCATGGCTACTTCTGTTTATGAACTCAGTTTTCAGAAAGTGGATCAACTAAACCCCAGATGAACCCCCATTCAGTGCACAGCCACTAGTTGGCGATCCCTTACACAAATGGAGAAATGGCTACTGGGGAGAAGGTTAGCCTTCTGCTCAGTGATAAATATGTCCTGAGCCAGCAGGCCTACACACCCAGGTATTCTAAAATTGTTAGCAGTCTGCTGGCAGCTTGGGCTACTGCAGTTGATCCCAGAATCCCCTGCAAGCTCTGACCAAGAGCTCACAGTCACTCTCACTCAGTGTCCAGGACATGGTCCTCACCGTGTTTTTTTAAGCAAGGTTCATTTATTCCTTCCTAGTTATCCTAATTCTTTAAACACATACACATCATATCTACAACAACTGAATTAGATCTATAAAGATTGTGGAAATGGAAATGAACCCCAAAGTGAAGTGGTGTCTTATACTAGAACTTTCTTGATACTGAGACAACGGGTTGCTGAATACTTTTTATGTGTTGTTGTCAGCAATGTCCCATTATACTATGTTTGTAGTTTTTAACATAATGGAGGGAGCAGATCAGGTTGAGTAGGTCTTCATTCCAGTTTTAGTGTTTTTAAGGGCTTATCACGTGTGCCTGTTAGATGCTCACAGCTCACACAATGCTCCTCCCCAGCCCGGCCAGGTTGACTTTGAGGAAGACATAGCTAGGTGCATATACATCACCAGTACTTCCCAAACAGCTCTAGGTACCATGTCTGTGAGTCAGGCAGAATCTATCCATCCCCATCCTGTCAGAAACAATAGCTTGTCTACCAATTCAACTTCTACCAGCTTGATGGAACACACCCAATTTTCTTTCCTGAAGAAAGTGAGCAAGAGAATTCCAATCTTTTAACTTTTAAAAATTTTCCTGTGGCCTAATTACATATTCTGAACATCAAATTTAAAATTATATAAAAAATAGTTTCCATTAATTCTGTCCTGTCTGCTCCCCACTCCCCCAAATCCCATCAACAAACATCTACAGAATTTCAACTGCAATGTTAAAAGGAGTGTTGTTGGTACCACATAATTATTTATAAATAACAGCCTTTTCTTGTTTGCCATTTTTTACCACACTCTATAATGCAGACTCACAAAGGGCTGGTTCTCAGCCCCAAAAAGTATGCTAATGAGGGAAGAGCAATAATTCAAATGTAGCCACTCATTTCTCTAAGGGAAAACATGCAGACCCTGAGCTCCACGTGTTTTCTCCACTAATTATCATGTGTTTACTTTTCCATTAGTCCAATAATTTCTCTTTCAATTCAAAATTAAGCAATAAGACACTGAATCGTATAATGGTCTGTTTAACATAGCAGACACACCCCACCACTCCCTAGCCCTCAGATTTACAGCTTGTAAAATACTCAACCAAGAGGCTGGTACATGCCCTTTTGTATTTGTACTCCATCATGTAGTCACATCAGTGTCTTGTGCATACTCAGAAGGTCCACTTAACAATGAACTCCAGCCCTTCCTGTCTTTATGTAAAGTGGATTGGAGCATAAACTTTAAATTCTAATTCCTTTGTATCTCCCCTACTTTGACTTTGCATGGTACTATACTATCAGCTTATATGTGACAAAATAATGGAAAACAGCATTTGAAAAATCCACACTGGGCTGGGAGTGCATTTAGTGATTGGTCTTTGCACTGTGGGGCACAACAATAAATTGAGATTGTCATATTTCAGTTGAGGCATGCGAGGCAATTCTTCATAGAACTGGAATTCTTGCCACACAGCATAGCATTCTGACTACGTTTAGGTAGAATGGACAAGTAAAGAAGCTGTGATTTCTGTTTGAAAGACTAGGGGAAAAAAAGTGAACCAAATCAACAGTTTGGTTAAGATGAGGAAATCTACAGTACCTTCTCTTCAAATCCTGGAAAGAGAAGGAAAGACAGTTTGCAGAGCACATCTTGTAAGCCTTTCTTGTGCAAATGAGGTGTTTCAGCAGATAAAAAGTGCATGGGAGGCTGAGCAGGGATGTCCTAACATTAATGGCAACATCAGACATCAACATGTCCAGCGTGTGTACATGCTGGTCTATACAGCTGACTTACCAACATCAGGGTCCACAGCTTGAACCCTGGTCAACAGAGCCTTGGTGGCCGTGTTCTCGTACACACAGGCATTGTAGTGCTCCGAAGAAAACACAGGTGGGTTGTCATTCACGTCCTCCAGGGTCAGTCTCACATCAGCCTGGCAGAATCTGCCACCCCCATCAGTGGCCCTGGCAATCAAAGTGTACACAGGGACCCTCTCCCGGTCCAAGAGAGCCAAGGTTTTCAACTCACCTGTGGAAACAAATGAGAGCATGGTTGATCTGGCTTTTTGAAAACTGCATTTCTCTGAGGAATAGAGACATCCCCTATACAAAGGCTTTTAGTAGAAGAAAAACTGATGACATTTGGTCCAAGTGTCCCAAACTTTAAAAAAAGAACAAACCACCCCCCCCCACCAAATGAACAAATTCAATTTCTTTAGCAATCCGTGACAAACAGTGAACTGACTATATGATTTTCAAATGAATGAATCCCTTTGCAAGTTCTCCCACACAAGGGATTCTTTCCTTTGGCTTCCTGGAAAAGTCCTACACCTCTTCACGCTTCCTGAAATCTGCTCAAGAGAGCAATCTCAGGATTTCTGCTCTATTTCCAAAGAAAAGACCGAGAATGCATCCACACTTCAAGTCTTCTGATACTCAATAATGTCAGTAACTTGTCAACCCAAGAGGGCAACCTCTTTTTCCAGCTACTAAATGTACTCCTCATGTTTGAGAGGAAAATATGATCACACACACATAAACGAACACTCACTGGTTTGGGGTCTTGAAGGAACTTGATTGTGCTGTGCCAGGGTTACCACTTCACTTTGCTGGGTGTGGAAGGGCATGAGGCTGCTGTGGGAGGCGTCGAGTTTAGAGGTTTGGGGAGGAGCTGAGGAGCTTGCAACAGCAGCAGCTGTCTAGCAATCAGCATGGAGGTATGTTCTGTCTGCTTTTAACAAAGGCAACAGCTGTACTGGGGCTGGATACCAGACCCCATGTGGAGATTTTATTACTGTTTAAGTTTCAATAGATAGTGACAGCAAATATGGTGAGAAACCTGATTATATTCTTTGTGGAAAAAAGGATGCCTCATGAAATTACTACTCTCGATATTATTGGACATTACTGAGACCAAACCACCTATATTTAAGAGGCTTCCTTGCTGTACCGAACCAGCCCTCAGCCACAGATTGGATCAATTTCCTCTCCTACTCAGAGAGCAGCCAGTTGTTTTTTGGTGGAGCATTTAAGATCTTGATCTGATCTGGCACTTTGAGCTCTCACATTCTCTGGATGTGCTGTTTTTTTTGTTAGTGCTATTCCTAAAAGTTGCAATGTTAGTTATAACCCTTGCTTGATTCACATGTTATCTATTCCTTAAAACAGTTTTCTCTCTTCATAATATTAGCTGTGCCTTCCTCTATTCACAGATAGAGCTCCCCTTTTATTTTTTTCTGAGTATTCATTTAATTTTGATTAATAGTATTCTTAGTAGTATAGTTTTTTTGTCCATGTGCCAATCAGCCTGTCATATTTCTTAGACATGACTGGATTGTTTATTTTAGATTCTATTGTGTAATATATCCCAGAAAGTGCCTGTATGTTTACTAACCACTCAACAAATAGGACCCATTCCTTAAAAATCATCAGGGTATACAGCTGACAGAAACATACATGACCATGGCAGTGTGTTCAAGTAAGATACAGATGACATGGAAGTAAGACAGGGAGAAACTAATTCATGGAAATTCAATGTTTGGTAATTATTTACTAGAACTGACATAATACTTGAAATACACAAGTTATTCATCTTACACTTTATTTAAAATTGTCATTGGAGACAAGATCCTGTTTTATAATATTAAAATGATTTAATTTTCATGGAAAATGGCTTTTCCATTAACTCTGATGTTCAGTACAAGCAGTTGCCTTTAGTTTATATAACCTTTCACAATGTAAATTTTACCTGAATGTACAAGCAAATATGAGGGCTCACAGCATCAGAAAAACTGGGGAGGGATGCTTGATAGAAACCAAGCAAATGTGTCAATAATGATCAGGAAGGGATTCAAAAGGAACTGAAAAATGAAAAAAAAAAAAAAACTCTCCTTACTGTGCATTGCCGTCCAGTTTGCATGGCAACCCTCATTTAAGATGTAACTCAATTTATACCTTTTATATACAGATGCTTTAACTCACAGATTGAAGATGTCTGCTTTCTATGTTAATAAATATAAGTAAAATCCAGGCAAGTTTTATAGATCAGATAAAATTAGTGTGGTCCAGAGCATATTTGGAAATTATGCGCTGCTACAATTTCCAAGATCCTGCACAATTACACCATCAAACCTCTACTGTTCAAACTACCTATTACTGAGAACATCCTGTGAGGGTGTAACACCCCTTATGGATTAAAAAATGGCATTTATCCAAAGAATAAATTTCACCTTACCACTTTCGGGATCTAGAAAAAATTCACTGTTTCCAGATCCATAGAGCGAGTATCGTATGTCTCCATTGGATCCAATATCAGCATCCTTGGCACTGACCTTCAGGATGATTTTATTTGATGGAATGTCTTCAGGAAATGATGCTGTATATACAACCTAGAAAAAGGTGATGAAAGGCACTTAAGTCCTTAGTACCTTGTAAAGCAGCTACACATGATTCATTTGAGAATTCATACATGTAATTTAATTTCTTTTTTTTCCTTCACCACACAACCATCTTGTACTATAAGATGAAACATGATACTTTGCTGTCTTCCCCTTCACAAGGAGATCTACTCAGTAAATGCTATTATGCACTTTTCGAGATGCTAAGTGCATAATGCTGAGGAAAATAGACAAAAATGTTGCACTGGACCCATGGAACACATATCATTTATGTCCTATCTTTCTGTTGAACTTCAATAAATCCTTGGAGCTCAGTGAGAGCGCACTGATAACATGTGGCACTAATAGAAGAGACTAAATCTATTTGTAATTTTTTTTTCTTGATTCACGTGATAAGGACACAGTAAGCCATATATTTCAATCTCAGTAAGAAAGAAAACTAAATCCAAGGGCCCGGTACAGCAGCCTAGTGGTTAAAGTCCTCGACTTGCTCGTGATAGGATCCCATATGGGCACTGGTTCTAATCCCGGCTGCCCTGCTTCCCATCCAGCCTCCTGCTTGTGGCATAGGAAAACAGTGAAGGACGGACCAAATGTTGGGACCCTGTGTCTGTGTGGGAAACACAGAAGAGGCTCCTGCCTCCTGGCTTCGGATTAGCTCAGCCTGACCGTGGTAGCTGCTTGGGGAGTGAATCAGCAGGTGGAAGATCTTCCTCTCTGTCTCTCCTCCTCTCTGTATATTTGCCTTTCCAACAAAAATTAAAAATATATATATTTAAAAAGAAAATTAAATCTAGTACTGGAGCCTCAGAAAAGCATGTTTTGTACAGTAGTAGAAATGTTAATTTGTGAAGAGTCTGAAGACGCAGGTTCAATGCCAGTATTGTCACTGATCAGCTATGTAAACTTATGCTGGCAAGCAACTTAGCCTACAGAGTGGTCCATTTTTCTTTTAAAATATCAGTGATTTGGATAGAACTACTCATAATATCCTTTCAGATTTACTTGATTTCACATGTTTTCATTTCATTTCATTTGAAAATCCTAAAGAGAAAGTGGGAAAGATAGACAGAACCATCTTCCTTCTGCTGATTCGCTCCTCCGATGCCCAGCCAGGGCTGGGCCTGCTAAAACCTGCAGGCCAGAATTGAATCCAGGTAGAGACCTGAGTACTTGAGCCATCAAAACATCACCAGATGCCTCTCGGGGTATGCATTAGCAGGAAACTGGAATAGATAGTGGAGTTGAGACTCAAATCTGGAACCTCTTATAAGGAACGTGGGTATACCAAGCAGAGGCTTAATCACTGCACCAAGTGCTCCCTGCAATATGATTTAATTTTGAGACTTAACAGTTTTTGCTCTTTCTTGTAGGATGACCAAATTAGGCACCTATCTCATTTTTATGCTTAGAATATTTTTACCTAGACTTCCCACTCATTTAAGACCAACCGAGCCCTTCCTAGAGATCAGAACAGAAGATCTACTGGCCTGAATGAAGAGAAGTGAAATGGGTGCTGGTTTTACAGACGCAGAGTGGAAAGGCAGGGCTGTCTCTGAATCTCACCTGATCGCACACTGGACTATTGTCATTGACATCACTGACAGTCACTTCCACTGTGGCTTGTGTGACAAAGAGCCCATCAGTGGCTGTGATGTTGAGGAAGTAAATGTCTTGTTCTTCTCTATCTAGAGGTCTCTTCACATAGACCTTCCACTCACTCTGCACCAGGCCCAGGGCAAACCTTCCTCGGGGATTTCCTCCTGTTGGGAAAGATAAAGGGGATGTTAAAAAAAATACAGGGACTCTTGACTTAGAAGAGTGCTTACTAGACATCGGGAGGAGGAGGATGGAGGAAAAAGGGTATGGAAGAGGTTGGATAACTGGTACCCAAAGACAGGTAGAGAGAAGTCACAATTTCTCATGTTCTACAGTGCAATAGAGTGAATGTTTTTCACATTAATGTATTCCATACTGCATAAGGAACGAGATGACAGGCACTGGCAAGGCTCCAGATACAAAGAGAAGATAAATGAAAATGTAGTTGCTTGACTTGATTGATTTATGATGTGTGTGTGTGTTGTGCTCCACAAAAACATACAAATAATGCATGCTAACAAACTTTGAAAAAATAATTCTAAAAAAGAAGGACTGAAAAACTCTGGCAGCCAGACTTTTACCCAATTAGACCTCTCACGCACCGTGCTGTAAAATAAACTTACTTTCAAAAGAAAAGAACATTTTTTGAAGGCATGCAATAAAATGCCTTGAGATCCACCTCCCATATGAGGCCCGTGGGAGGTCACCAAGGTGCCCCTCCAACTGTATCATTTATGATACTAAGAAAAAAAAATAACCCTGATATTCTGTTTGGCTCTTGGGCAACAAAGTATGGTATTTATATGCTTTGCTTGTGTGGAAAGTAAGACAGAAACCTTCCAAGAGAATAAAATCCACTTAGAGAAGCTGGAAATGATCCCTTGTTTGAGTCCCCTTAAGAACAATCAAATTCAAACTGTGAACAATCAATCGTTTTCTCAGGATGATACGATTGTCTTTCCACTTAGTCTCAAGAGAGGATGTAATACACTATAGCTCTTGTTACCAAGACAATTTCATTAGCTGTTGATTATGCAATCAAGGGAAGGCAGTCAGTTCTATTAAGCAATCTTTTAATGAAGTCTTTATCATACAGCTGCGTTCTTCTCATGAGGATTAGAGTTTGGGGAGAAAAGTTTATATGACAGGGGAAGACCCATTAGTATTAAATAGCCCTAATAAGGGGTCATTTAAGGAGCTGTTGAAAGATAAGTGCTGCAATTAGATGAGATTTAGCAGAGTAAAGCTGGTGAAAGAGGAAGGAAAAGAGGAGAGATGAAGTGGAACTGCTTCTTATGATGCAGAAACACTGACAGTGGTCCTAGCCATATTTCTTTTCCACATCATTAAACTTCGTGGAGACAAAAACCACTTAAGCAAACAAGGGAGGAAACAGGAGGCAATAAACAATTGTGACCTTCTTATCCCTAAGAGGGGCTAAAGTCCAAGAAAGACTGGACAAGACAAACAGCCACAAGTCAGGAGCCAAGCTTGACGCTCATCACCTTGTTGACACACACACATTCAACAAGTATCTGTTTCCTCCTCTGGACTGGGACTGTTCCAAGGCAGCAGTGCTAGTCTCAGGGATAAACATGGCAGAGTTTGCCTGCTCTCCTAGCTGAGCTGCTATTCTATGAAATACTGATCATAGTCAAAATGGTTGGGGTGTCAGCAGGTTGCAGATGTTTTGGGCGCCTTGAGCTCCTTCTACCCAGGCAGACAGAAAGATGCCCTGTTCAATGATAATGGTAAAACAAAACTTACTTTACTAAATCGAAAACCTCCAGCTCATCTCCACTCAGGACTTAAGTGTTTTCTCTGTCTTGCCTCTGACAGCACCCATGTGACTCCTAGGTGGAGCATTGTACAACCTGTAACTTATAACCAGCCACTTCACTGGATCACTGTTTGCCCATATAAAATCTTCAAACTTCGTGTGCAAGGTAATCTTTTAACATAAGAAACAAAAAGCAAGCAAAGCATACTGCGTGTAGACTGTTTCTTCATTAAAAGTGGAGCCTTCTTACCTTATAATAAATCTTATAACACAGAGGGCAGAAAGAGACCACCATGGTCCTACTGCAGAAGTTGAGAGGGGAGGAAGGTTTCTGGGTTTCAGGCTGAAATCTTGATTTTGAGACAAGGGGCTCCATCCAGGGACCTCTGGATTATGGGGCTATCATGGGATAAACAGAATGAAACTGGGGAGACAGTGCAGGAAAGGTGAGGGCAGTGCTTCTCAGCTGGGGCTGACCATGCCTTTCCCCCTCTGTAAGGCGGTTATTAGTACCTGAAAGCAGTTTGGAATTCCACATTGGCGAGAGGGTGGTGCTGCAGCTCCTGGAATCCAGTGGGTAGAGGGTTGGGACACAGCTGAATATTCTACCCATGGAACAGCCCCCACCACACAGGAATTATCCAGCCCCAAGTGTCAATCATGTGTGGCTGAGAAACCCCACTCCAGGGAGGCTCGGGTGCACCCTGGGATATCACGTTCCTCCACTACTGGCTAAGATTCAATTATGCTGCAGTTGAATATTATTTCAGCACACACAGATTTAACCTCTCTTATTAAATGCTTTCAGTGAAGGCAGGCCCACACCATTCTTTTGTTACATAAAATGATTAACGGTCCTTTGTAAATTGGAGGCTGCACAGTCAAATTGTGTTACATCAAGAGCAAAAGTTAAATCTAATTAAAATCAGTTGGTGGTTGGCACCACTAATAGTAACAGTAGCTCTAAGCTACTCGGTGCTCATTACTTCGGTAAAGTCAATGGGATGGTCCTTTTACATCATCAATTGCGAATTCAGAGGCTATCTATAAATAATTAAAGCCATTCAACAAGTCTTATATATGGGAAAGCATCCCTTAGAATGCCTAAGGCAGCTTTTATTTTTTTAAACTAAATAAAAATAAATCAAAGAGATGCTTCACTCATCTTTCTTTTTCCTACCAATATCTTTTGAGTTTTAATTGCAGAAATACCAAGGGGTCTTCAAAGAGTTGTCAATACCTTTTTGCACCAAAACAAACCTCTTTTAATTCCATTTTTCCAAGAACTTTTAGAAGTTTGCTCATCTCTCTTAAGCGAGAAAGACTGTTGGTATCAGATAAAGTATAAAAAGTAGAAAATATTTTAATAAAAATATCAAGAGGCAGTTTCATGATCAAACTGGAGAATGGTGCTGAGCAATGCAGCAACCCCAAGCACTGTCACATTTGCTCCACTGTGGATCCTTTCTGCAGTGATTAATTAACTTTTCCGCTAACATACTTAAGCAGATTCTGGGTCCTAAGGGCATTCTAATTAATTCATTTTTCACTCTGAATAATGTGGTGTTTCTAAAGGGAAATCCACCTGACTACAAGCATTGATGGATTCTTTAAAATCTTTCGGCACTTTGCTTATGTTTTGCCTCTGAATATGACAATATAAAAATATTAGCTTAAATAGTTTCCTACCCCCCTTCATCAAATGGCAATACTGTTCCTCAGACCACCATCCCTGTCCTGTTCAAGGTCAGAAAATGACACCTGACCAGTGACAAGTTTTTTACCCCGTTGTGAAGTCCCTTGACCCTCTCAGAAATTGGACTTTTTAATGTACTCTCTGTGAACCTATTTGTCCTTCTGGGCTTTTCCAATGAACTGCTACTTACTATTTGAAAAGATTACAAAGAAATTCAAGAAAGTTTACTTGTCAGAACATGTAACTTGATCTGGAACAAAATTTAGAAGTTTTAAATAGGAGATCAAACTCTGACCTGCAAAGTGTGTTATGTACGTGCATGTGTGTTTTCATGACCAGGAGAAGGTTATTGTATCAATAGATTATATTTCTTAGCACTCCTCCCCAGCAAAAAATAGGAATCTATTTTCAAAATATCTCTCTACCACTAATAACTGTTATTTGAAAATTTTCAACTGTAACACGTGGCTAGACTCTTCTTTAAAATGATAGGAGGGACAAAAGGAAGGGTTGCCAGTGTGGGTAATATCTTGCAGGTAAGTCAATAAATTCCAGACTAATGCTTAGCCACCAAGAGCCAATCACGGGAACCCAAATTTACTCAAGAAATCTGTCATTCCACCCATGGAACGCTTTATTATTCCTTATTCCTCATTGCATCTTCAATCTTCTTTCCACTTTTACCCTCTACCACCATCCATCATTCTGTAGAAAACAAAGCCCATAGTGAATCTCATGGCTATAGAGACTCACCTGTAATATGGTAGCTCACTTGCCGATTCATGTCAGATGTGTCTCTGTCCCAGGTGCTGAGGACGGCTACCACCTCGCCTGGCGGGTCACTCTCCTTCACAGTGCCTCGGTACACCTCGTGTGCAAAGACTGGTGCATTGTCATTTATATCTGTCACCTTTACAGAGACCAAAGTCGTGGAAGAAAGAGAGAATGCCTCTCCAAGGTCAGAGGCCACCACAGAGAAGGCGAACGTGGGATCTGTCTCATGGTCCAGGTCCTTCAAGGTACTGATCCAACCGGTGTTGCTGTCAATACTGAATGCTTCCATTACCTTTTCAGGCTGGGAATCCGAATGCAGAGAGTAGGTGACCTGCCCATTGGCTCCCCAGTCCATATCGATAGCTTTCACCTGTGTGAGTTTGGTGCCAACTGGCATTCCTTCCATTATGATGGTCTCATAGTTTGAAGTTTCAAAAACTGGCTTGTTGTCATTTAAATCCAGTATCTTAATATCTACATCCACAGTGAACACGATGTCTACCTTATCCAGGGGTATTGTGGCCGCTACTTTAAACTGGAAAGCTGGGCTGCTTTCATGGTCAAGGCGCTTATCAAGCTTGATAATGCCTGTTTCTTGTTCTATGATGAAAACACCACCTTTGTTATTTTCTGGCCGTTCCCCATTAACTGTGCTGAACCGGACATTCTGATTAGGCAAAATTCTCAGGGCATCAACTGTACTTCCAATGGCTGTATCTTCAGCAACAGTGAAGGAATACTGAGACTGAGTGAATGATGGCAAGAGTATTTCAGGCGGTAAGACGTGGATATAGACAGGAATGAGGGAGTGCTTCACTGGAATGCCCCCATCCACGGCTTTGACAAAGAATGACAATACTGTATTTTTCAGCTGGTTAAAATTGCCTTTTGTAACCATCCATCCATTGTCAGGATCAATTTCTAGGAGGTCAGCCACAGAGACCGAGGCCTCACTATAGAGGGAATATGTAATCCTGGAATTTACTCCATCATCTGGATCCACAGCTTGAACCTGAGTGACCAAGTGGCCCCTTCCAACATCTGCCCTGACACTGGCTCTATATTCTACTGTCATGAATTGAGGAGCATTGTCATTTTCATCCACAACAATCACCCTCACAGTGCAGAAAGTTGTTCTCCCTCCACCATCAAGGGCCCTCAAAAAAATAGTAATATCCCCTTCCAAAGGGTTTTCTCGGTCTAGTCTTTCTGTTGTGATTACTTGCCCATTGCTGTCAATGAGAAACCGATCCTTGGCAAAGTCATTGATGATGGAGTAGCTGATTTGCCCGTATGTCCCTGGATCTCCATCTGTGGCTCGAACGTGAATTACCTTTGTTCCAGCAGCTGCATTCTCTCTCACCTCTGCTACATATGTGCTTTGTGAAAAGGCAGGACTGTACAAGTTAGCCCCAAGCACCCTGATGTGCACCTGTGCAGTACTGGTGAAGAGCCCATCAGAGACAGAGACATTGAGGCTGTACAGAGGCTCCATCCGCTGTTTCCGGTGGTTGGACAGTGTGATGATTCCACTCTTGCTGTCCATCAAAAAGCTTGTCCGGTCATTCCCAGATAAGATGCTATACTCCAACCGGTCAATGTCAGAGCTATCTGCATCAGAGGCTTGGACACAGGTTACAAAATGGCCCCGGGGAGCTAATTCACTTACATATGATTCATATATAAGTTGATTAAAAACTGGAGGATTGTCATTTATGTCAGAAATGTGGATATGAACCAGCACCTCACTGGTCAGTGATGGGAAACCATTATCTGTCGCTTTGACTTTCAATGTGCAATGCTGTACCAGCTCATGGTCCAGCATGCGTGCTGTCAGGATTAAGCCACTTGCACTGTCTATGTGAAAATAATCTGTGCTGTTGTAGGTATCCTGAACAATTTGATAATGTACCATCTTATTGTTTTCTGAGTCTGCATCAGTGGAGACAACTTGTAGAACAGGTGTGCCAATGAGAGATGCTTCAGATAAAGTTGTATTGTATGTGGGCTGGTCAAAAACAGGGGGGTTGTCATTTACATCATTAACTAGCAAGTCTACAGTGACTTCAGCCCTGGCACCAGTCAAGGCATCACTGGCTCTTATAGTTAACTTGTAAGCAGGTGTAACCTCATAATCCAAAGGGCTGACAACTTTCAGGACCCCAGTGTCAAAGTCAATGTTAAATTGTTTCAGAGGATCTCCATCAATGATGATATATATGATGCCTTGGCCTTCCGGACTGGTGGCATTAATGCTTAGAATGGGGGTGTCCATTGTGACATCTTCATTTACGGAAGCTGTATAAAATGGCTTATCAAACACAGGCATTGCTTTGTTGACAATAGTGATGGGAAGTTCCACAGATGTGGACAAAGAAGGCTTGCCACCATCTTTGGCTAGGATGGTGACTCCATATTCAATGTTAGACAAGTCAGAGTTGAATGCCTCTTTCAAAACAACATTCCCTGAAACAGGATTAATTTCAAAGTGGCCATAGTCATCCTGCAGGACATAGGTCACTTCTCCATTTGCACCTTTATCTTTGTCAATGGCTGTCACTCGGTAAATCAGAGTCCCTGGCTCAGCATCCACTTGCACAGCAGCATAGTAAGGGAGGCCCACAAAAACTGGAGAATTGTCATTTATGTCTTCAATGTTAACCCTGACCACCACTCTAGCCACACGCAGAAGGTCCAGCTCACGGCTGGCTTCCACCACCAACTCATACAGTTCTTGTTCCTCACGGTCAAAGGGGACTCCAGTAGTTTGAATGACTCCTGAGGTAGATTTTATCTTGAACTTATTTCCTGGGTTTAAGATGCTATATTTTAAGGGCTCATTAAGGCGATTTCCAACTGCATTGACAATAGCAACTTTGGTTATATTAGTGTTGTTCTCTGAGATTGAGGTGGAATAAAAGCTTTGTGTAAATTGGAGACCACTGTCCATGGCTTCTTTTACCATTATATTCACCATGCATGTACTATAGAACTTCCCATCAGAAACTTTAACTATCAAAACATAGTGATCTTTGGAGAGATTATTGTTTTTTATGGTGAGCACTCCACTACTTGAGTCAATTAAAAAGTAATCAAGGCTGCCCTCCATTAGGCTGTATGTCAGTTCAGGGGGCACCTCAGAGTCAGGGTCTGTGGCACTAACCTTCAGAACCTCCACTCCAACATAGGTAGGGAGAAGTAAGATAGTCTCAAACACAGCCTGGGTAAATACAGGTGGATTATCATTCACATCTGTCACCTCAATGTTGACTTCAACAGGACTCTCTGCTGTCAACTGGGGGCTACCACTATCTCTCACATGCACATGAAAATGAAAATGGGAGATGGTTTCATGATCCAGGTTGGCAATTGTTCTGATTGCACCTGTACTGGAGTCCACCGTGAAAAACTTCTTGGCTGTAGACTCCACAATTTGATAAACGAGCAAAGCATTCCGGTTACTGTCAGCATCTGTGGCTCGGATCACCAGCGGGCTGTTATCCAGGTTCCTGACAATGCTATTGACAGGGGCAGCCTCACTTAGACTGCCTGAGTATTCAGAAAAGAGAAACACCGGGGCGTTATCATTTTCATCAACAATCTGGATACTGACTGTGGCGTTGGAAGCCATTCCCGCCATGTTGGTGGCCTGAATGATGAGTTGGTAAGAGGAAGTGTGCTCGTAATCTGGAGCCCTCTGAGTGGTGATGACTCCAGAATATGGATTTATCGCAAAGATCCCATCAGTGTTTCCATCTTTGACTTCATAAACAAGGGTAGATTGACTAATGGCAGAGATTAGGATGACTGATGTTCCAATATCAACATTTTCATTTACTTCAGCTTGGTAGTCTTTGTGAGTAAATTTGGGGTGAGAGTTATCGGATATCGTGACTGAAATACGCACAATTGCAGTGGCAGACATTGGCGGGGAGCCTTGGTCTGTGACTTTGACTGACAGAACAAATTGGCCTGTGGTTGTCATGTCTGGTTCCTTCGAAACAGTGATGATGCCCAGAACTGGTTCAATCTTAAACGTGTTCCCAGTGTTCCCTGAAACACAGAAATCATCAGGGAAATGAGTTACAAGTGGATCATTAAATCCTTTCTATATTCAGCTGTCATGTAAAAGTACTTCAATGTGGCAAGTAAAAGCAATGGTTTGTATGCACTCCATGTCTTTCTAAGGAGGTGGAAAAAGAAAGTTCTCTTCAAACGTATTAAAAAGTCACTGAAATGAGTTTTTCAGTAAAATAGTCAGTCCCAGTTCAGTAGCTTTTTATTCCAGGTCATGAAGAGCATTACTGTATACAGTAGAAATGGGAAAGAAGAGAGATTTTAGGAAGGACTTTGTACTAAGAATGTGGAATCCTTCCTTATTGACTGGGCAGGCACCAACCACTGTCATTTGTGAAAAAATGACAACATGTAACAATTTCATGTCAGTATAAGGAACATTGTAGGACTAGTTTCAGGATATTATAATGTAAATATTTTTTCAGAATTCAATGACTTAGTTTAGTATAAAGAAAGTTATCAAAGAATTGGAACTTATGTAAAATAGTGGGTATCTAATCTTCTGATTTGACAGTAAAAAATCAAGGATTTATAAAATAGTCTATTGTTTGCTTCATCTTTATTTACTGCTGTGTTTTAGACTCACTTTTCTTCCCTGCAGCATACTGGCCTTTTCTTCAACTCTTCTGTCAAGCCCCACAGGGCAGGGAGCAGCTCCTTCTCATACTTTACTGATTGTGCTGAATAAAGGCTTCCATATCTGAACACAGTGCTTTCCAGGAACTGGGCTTTCTTATTGTGGCAGACCATCGGACTGGATGCTACCACAACTGCAGGGGGACTGTCAGCCTTATCCAGTTACCAGTTCTAGGTTCTGATTATCCTAAAAGAAGGCTTCACCTCATGGAAATGATACTACCTTGCCCTACTAAAACAGACGTCTTCCAAAAAACTGCTTTGGTGAGGGAATTTTGATCAGATCTGGAGAATTCATCCCAAGGCACTGTTTGGTATTCTGTGGCCAATTTTTCTGTTTATCCTTGCATTCTTCACTCCTATCTTTCATCTATGTCCCTGTACACACACAGATAAAAAAGCAAATCTAAAATATGTAAAGCAGTTCATCCAATGTGTCACTATCCTATTCATTAACCATTCAGAATGTGTCTGGTGAAGGAGGAAATTATTGCTAATTGGAAACACCATTCAAAGAACTTGAAGTAAGCCCAGTAATATAGCTTAGTGGCTAAATCCTTGCATGGCATGCACCAGGATCCCATATGGGTGCTGGTTGGTGTCTTTACTGCGCCACTTCCCATCCAGCTCCCTGTTTGTGGCCTGGAAAAGCAGTAGAGGACGGCCCTAAGCCTTGGGTCCCTGCATCCATGAGGGAGATCTGGAAGAAGCTCCTGGCTTCGGGCTTTAGAATGGCTCATCCCTGATCATTGAGACCTCTTGGGGAGTTAACCAGCAGACAGATCTTTCTCTGTCTCTCCTTCTCTCTGTAAAATCTGCCTACCCAATAACAATAAATTAAATAGCTAAACAAACAAACAACAAACCCAAAGAACTTGAAGCACAATCCTGATGTAACGGAGCGCTAGAGCCCACATGGATATATGTGATATGGGAAGAGCCGTGGGCTGTTCCTGTATAGTGGCCTGGAGCTCCCAAGCAACAGAGGGTGCAAATCTAGGATTGGTGTGTGTGGGGGTGGGGGGACGGAGAGTGAAATTGTAGAGAATGGAGAATACGAAACTGGAAGAATGCAAAGAAGGTTGGTGCTGACTCAAAAGTGCTGGACAATACAAACTGCATCATTTCCCAAATTACTCTGAGTCATTTATCAGGTTTCTTGAAATTTCTCTATGAACATGTGGGCCTTTTTGTTAAAATTTTTTTCATATTAAATGTTAAAGGCTTTTGTTATTCAACTTTTCTTGGATTTCTCCTTCTTTTTGAGCTAGTAGCATGACAGACAGATCATTTCAATGTCAAGCTTACTGAAATAGGCCCCAGGATTCAGAGGACAGTTACATTATGTATTTACTGAAATACACAGAATTTGTGGCTGCATCTATATACCTATAGTGTGAATAAAGTTTTCCATGTCTGAACACAAAATGGTCATGTTCTTCCTTCTTCCTAACTCAACTTTGACTCCTAATCTCTCTTGTCCTGGACTACCTAATGATCATTGTTGGCACCAAACACAAACCCCAACGGAATGCTAGGCCTGATGCTGTGCACTCAAATTTGCCCTAACTTGTAAGTCAAAATAAAGCTTCAGCATCACTTTAAAAGGCCAGGCAGCATATACAAAATGTACAAACCACCAGTAAACAGACTATAAATTTTTGTATCTAAGGTCTGTGAGAGATGGCTAATGTAAAACTCCTTACAAACTACTTATTTGGTTCAAAATACGGAAGCATTAGGGATCTCTTTTCCTTCATCCTCTGGCTCAGCCCAGAGTCAGTATTGGGATATTTTTCTGTGATGGTGTCTGCTGGCTGCTTGAGGTTATTGTACAAGTTATAATTTTTGCTAGCTTTGTAACACATGTCATGTCATTGGAGGTCATTTTTAAAAAGTAATCAATCATTTCTGTGGTTTTCCATGAATTTTTCAATATATGAGATGCTTTAAGGAAATAGCTTCTCTTTTGTTTTATAATTTGTTGGTGAGTTTTTTTTTTTTTCAGCTGGATGGTAAGTTCAATTATTATTTGAAAATGTCCAAACTGATTTGCAAATTTTCTAGTCATCTAAGAAAAGTGAAAGTAATTGCTCTGGTGACAAATATTAAAATCAGGCAGATGCATGGACAAACATTCAGAAAATAAGCAGAAATAAAACCTTATATGTAAATGGTTGCTACTACATGAGACAATGTGTATATGTAAGTCAATATAAAGAAAAGAAAGGAGAAGAAAAATCCAAAGAAAGATTTTGATTTGCTGGGTTGGATGACATTTTCTGTGATGTTATTTAAACATTGAATTTTGGGAGAAAGTGACACCTAGCACAGGTAAACTGCAGCATCTGGCTGTGACAGGCCAACATCTTTCTTTTTTAAGTAAAGTGGTGCCAACAGTTTCAATCATTACACATAGAATTTTTTAGAAGGTTGTCGCCTCTTATTTTCTAAAATTTCCATTCCAAAATGGCCATCCTAGCATTCTCGTTTTAATTCAAGTACTCACAAGAATGCTCTACATTTACATGAAAGGAATGAGCCTTTCCATTGCTCACTTGAAAGGAGAGTGCACTTGGCATTAAGTGCCAACAATATGATAGACATAATGTTGCAGAACATTTTGGAAATATGTGGCTTGAACACCCAGAAAAGACAGGACGGGGGAAGGAGAACAGAGCAGACACAGGGTATTTGTCATTTTTAGGATCACAGTATTTTTTGCTGCTCAGACATTCATTTTTTTCTAGCATGGATGTTTTTTGGCTATTGATCTTCAAACCATGAAATAAAGTTTTGTCTTATGGATGATAAAATAGGTTTTTTTTTTTTTAAATCTCAAGTTTGGCAAAATGAGAACCTGTATTTACTTGTCAGGTTAAGCTAGCGGTTCAGACACCATGTCTACCAAGTACTTTACCACTCACACTGCCTCCCTTGAAGTTAATTTGTAGGGACATGGAGGGCACAAGAATTTCTCAAGTTCTCATTCCACCCACTGAGGAGTAAGCAAAGACACGCAAAATCCAGTTCACAGAAGAGCCCAGCAGTCCTTCAGTGATGGGAGACTTTGATTATTTTATTCTGAGGCCATGGCTTGTTGACCCATACATAAAAACCACTGAATTTACTATTTTTTTTTCTCTTTTCCATGCCAGCAACATCTGAGATTGAACACAATAAAGGAAGCCCTTTCCTTGCTGTTAGGGATGGAACACGCCTTAGCAAAACGCCAAGCAATTATATACTATCTATTATCACACAAATAGGGAAGTTACTTGGCCAAAAACTTCATTTGGAGATCTTCCAGTGGTAACAATATGAATTTCACAAGGCGATAAAAACTACTTTCGGTCAAATGCCACGCATAAAACTGAAATCTGTGCAGTGCAACAGCTCTCACCTGATTCTATGGTATATATGAGTTCTGCATTTTCCCCTTTGTCTTTGTCCAGAGCGGTCACTTGCAGAACAGCTGATCCCAGAGCAGCAGATTCAAACACAGATGCTTCATACAGTGGGTTGGTAAAATAAGGACTGTGATCATTAGCATCTTCCACGTTCACAATGACTCGAGCCAAGTTTCTTCGATAAGGAAACTCCTGATCTCTGACCTTTAGGCAAAACAGAAGCAGTAGTAGACCAACTTCTTAAACTGAAAAGAACTCCCATGGCTTGTCTGTGGCCAAAATTATATGAGCCGATGCACATCAAGTGCATTATCCAGCCACAGGCACCTAGTAGTTACTCAGGAAATGTATTTTTAAAGGCAGGAAACAGTGAGCCAACTAAGCAGGAACCACATACTTATAACTGCTCAGCTTCAGGCCTAGCCCGTTGTCTAGGTGCAGTCTATAACTGAAAATAGCATTGCTCTTGAACGCACACTTCACTCTGGCTTCCCTTGCACAGACGGATTCACCTCATTAGTCTGTATACAGCTATTAATGCAATGGTAGGTGGAGGCAATTCTAAAGTGGAAACCAAAACATGGAACTAACAAACAAGGCTGGCATTGTCTATCATTTCTCCAACAAGCATTTACTGTCAATGATTTTGGGTGAAGTCTCCAGCTTGACTCCTTTGTCAGTATTTAGTTTTGAATCAGATAGATCCGCTGCCCTCAAGAAGCTTAGTGTGAGGAACACAAACGAGTAAATAGATATGTGTAACACAGGGTAAGCGCCAGCATACACTGCAACTGTCTTCAAGGTGAGTGATAAGAACAACTCACACTAACATTCAGCTTCCAGAGAACGAAGACCAAGCAGAGGTAGTTAAGTGACAATAGTGGTGATGGCACTTTGATCCAGGAAAAGCCAATATATTTAAAGGCAACTCTGAACACTGGGAAGAATCAGATCATTCTCCTAATTTTTGGTATCGAGACTCTCCATTTGATCTTATTGAACTAGCTCATCTTGTGACAGCTTTAAAGTTCCAATTTGCAAACAGCAGAAATTGATAAGCAAACAATTCAATATAGGTACTAATGAAATGGGTCCTTTTGCTTTGTTCAGCTTCAAGCTATGTAACTTTAGAGATTGGAAGAAATTAGGGAATAAACCCATAAGAAACATCAAAGAAAAATGTGTCCTGAGAAACAGTACGTAGAAGGATGAGCAAAATGATTCAAATGGATTAGCTTGAAGGAAGACAGCCAAAAGCTGTCTGCTACAAATATTCACTTATATAAATGATCAATAGTGGAAGGTGGTCAAACAGACCATGGATATTTAAGGAAAGAGGGAAAGGAAATGACTAAAAAACAGTGAGAATGAAGTTAGCATGAGCACAAGGGCTGTCCCCTGGAATAGAACATATATAAAATGTGCTTCTCTGAATGTAGACTGGCTTGCCACACTCAAAGTTTAAGCTTTATTTGGGGAACATTGAAATCCAGGCAATTCTGGTTGAATGTATTTTCGGTACTCAATGGCTCAGAATGGTGCTTGGGATACAGAAGGTACTTGAGAAATAGCTATTCACTGAAGAATGAATGAAGGGCCAAAGGATGTAAGAATGACTCACAAAAGGTATTTGTCACATTTCCTTAGCCCCTCATTCATTCATTCATTCATTCATTCATTCATTCATTCATTCAGTGAACAGCTATTTCTCAAGTACCTATTATATACCAAGCACTTGAGCATCTGCAGAGTGTTAGTGAATTATAAAGCTAATCAGTTCACAAGATTAAGTCTCTGTTATCTTGATTAGTATTAAGAACTGCTGTAGCGGCTCTTACAGGTAGTGGCTGTGTAATATCCATGGAGTTACTGGGTGGTTAAAGGGAACTGTTGCAGTTCCTAAATTAATCAAGGATGTTTCTTATTAATCTCTATCTTCCAAATACGTGAACTAGAAAACTTTAAAAGCAGACTAACTTCTCCTACATTCTTAGGATGCCATGTGGCAATAAATTGGGAGTTAACACCATGCAGGCTTTGGTGTGTCCTGAGATCTCATTTGTATGTCAGTATCACCGCTGGACTCAATGCTAGTGAAAGTAATAAGCTGATCTTTAAATTTTTCCACAGACTGAGCATTGCATATGTTGAGAAAATGATTACCCTTATGATTAACTTCTCAAGGAATTTCTTTTAAACTTTTTCTCAAAATTTTCTGGATGTATACTGCTCCCAGTACCTGAAACCTGACCTAGTAGTATCCCTCCTCTCAAGCCAATCTCTCAATAGCATTTACCAAGAAGCCTCTGTCTTCAGAACTTAATTTTTCAGTTTGGCAAACAGTCACCCCCTAACAACATTAATTTTTCATTGTCTTGAAAAAAAGCAAAAAACTAAATGCAACCTAGCTGTAAAAAATCAAATTTACTACCAATTAGAAAAGGCTATGACGTAGAAAAGGTTTTTGACGTAGGGATGAGTGGCAGTATCATAAAGAAAATGATCAGTTTCATCCTACCATGATGTTGAGGATGTGTTTGTCTTGGGCCTCGTGGTCCAGTCTCTCGGCAGTGTACAGCACACCAGTGCTAGGGTCAATGCGGAATTTTCTCATGCTGATGGAGTCGATGCTACTGTGGACAGTGTAGCTCAGCTTGTGCTTCTCATCTCTATCTGTGGCTTCGATCTGCAATATCTCTGTATCTGGTAGCACATCCTCTGAAATTGTTACATCGTAATGTGGCTGAGAGAATTCTGGGCCATTATCATTATTATCCAGCACTTTGATAAAAACCTGTATTTAAAAGAAGACGACAGTGATGACCAATGCCAACGCACTCATTGCTAATAAAAGCGTCTGACTTCCTCTCTGTCTTTTGATCTTAGCTTCAAGAAGCTCTCTCAACACATAGGAAACTCTCTTCAAAAACATCTGTGATCAGAGGTTGACAATAAACCAGTAGTTCACTTTAACAGGAACATAAACTATAAGGTGATCAATATTCTCACTATTAATAGAAATAGCGTAAGGTCATAAATCCATGACATTATTTGAGGCACAACAGAAATGCTCACACTGTGACCTTAGTTTGCTAGGCTCCTATCATCTTAAGTTCCTGCTATGTGTTCCTCATGGTGACCTTATGTGGAGCCAGCTGTGGAACAGAATAAGCCACAAAGAGGACTCAAAGGCAGCAATGAACAGTGATGGATTCAGAGCAGTCAGGGCTCCTCAACGACCATGTCTACACATGGAGCTTGACCTGCCGATGGGAGGGTTCTAGCGCACAATGTGGAATGAAAAGCAGCTAAAAGTTTCAAAATTATTTTTCATAAAACCTTTTGTTACAAAAAACTTTCAGATACTGTTTTAATGCCCACATGTTCATTACTCAGCTTTAACAATTATCGATACACTGTATATTTCCTCTTATTTGTAACCTTCCACTCATCTCTACCTGCTCTCCATAATATTTTGTAGCAAATTCTCAGCCATCATTCAATATCAGCAAGTATCTCTAAAGTATAGGAACCATTAACATATCCAATATCATTACTGTACCTAAACAGATAAAATTCCCTAATATACCAAATGTTCAATTGATGTTTAGACTTCACTAATAGTTGTAATATATTTTATTGTTTGCATATACATATACATGTGTGCATGTATACACATATAATAGTTCTAATCCAGACATGCAAACAATACCATAATACTGTCTTTGGTTGATATGTCTTTCGAGCATAGATTATAGTCTTTCAGTCTATGCTTGTGCAATTTATTATGCTGTTATGATTGGTGTTGACAAAACGGAGTCATTTTCTCATGAGTTCCTAGTTTGAATTTTCTCATTGTAACTCTATGATCTCGGCATTTCTCTCTTTCCCTTGTACCTCTTATAACTTTGTAGTTTAAGAACCTTCATGAAATTCTGAATCAATTCTAATTTCTTCTTTTCCATTTGGATGAAAGTTGTTCATGATTATTATGTTAGTCTTACTGCTGGAAATACGTGTTATCTGTTTTTCTCCTTTCTCCTGTGTTATTAGAATTGATGACATTTCCATCTAAAAGATTTTAAAAGCCCAAATGGTAATGTCCTCAATTCATTGCTACAATAGTTCCACCAAAACAAATTTTCTAACAACTTCATTATTCCTAAGTGTACTTCCTGAAAGAAAGACAGGATAAGTCCTTAATTCTTTCTCTTCACCATTTTTTTAAATAATAATGAGTTTATCTCTTAGTTCTTCCCAAGGCGACCAACAATGCATTATAATGAACTCATTGACTTAATTATATCTAATATGTGTTATCCGTTACAGCTATGTGATGCATAAGCAGCCCTTCTTCGCCCAGTGAGATCTCTTCGGGTTAGCTGGTTTCAGGATCTTCTGAAACAGTGCTACCGCTGTTCAACAGATTTCTTGATTTCTGGCAGTTACTGGCAATTTCCCCAGGGTCATGTTGGATATGTACATCCAAATATTGAATTATGCATTTCTACAAGTTTTCCTTTTTTTAAGTTACTAATGGTATTTAAAGACCAACATCTAGTACTAGGAATATTCCTTGCTACTTGATTGGATTTTTAAATAAGTAAATGTCTCATTAAATCTTACTGCTACTTCCAAGTCAAAATAGATCAGGTGTTTTTTCCTTTTTTTTTTTTTAACCTCTCGTTCTTGCTTTTACATATGTATCTCCCCTTCCCATGTTAACACTTCTCACATCCAATGACATCATAATTATTTATGGCTTTTTCTCCTTCCTGAGTTTTGCATTCCCATAATATATAAGAATGACCATCTTACAGCTATAACAACAGTGTTTATTATGATTTTTGGAATTTTTTACCCATTTGATGGAGGAATGGCATCTTAGTATAGTTTCATTTTGCATTTATCTTGCTATCAATGAGGCTGGGTATATTTTCAAATATATAGGATCCATTTGCATCTCTTTTTCTGTTACACTATTTATATCAGCTCATTCTTCTACAAATTAGATAATATTATGCTTCATTTTTGGAAGCTTGCTGATATAAATTGTAAATACACTTTCAGGTTTATCATAAATCATTTTAAATTTACTTTGCATAGTGATATTTTCATCATGCAAGAGTGAGTACATAATTATGTTCCCTTAGTATTTGTCAATGTTAGAGTTTCAAACGTCTTCTATACTTCCAAAATATATAAAAACACATCCATGTTAATTTATTTTTATTTAGAGAAAGAGTAAAAGAGAAATGGCAAGAGCATGCTCCAGGCTGTTGGTTTATTATCTAAATTTCCACCCTAGCTACGGCTGTTGCTGACTGACTGTCCTCCAGTTCTGCCTCAGGGGTGGCAAGAACCCAGGTACGTGCGCCGTCACTTGCTGTCTTGCAGGGTGAGAACTGGCAGGGAGCTAGAAGTGGAAGCGCTTAGAAGAATCAAACCCAGAAACTCCGATATGGACATAGGCACCACTTCTGCTGGTGCCAAGAGCCCCATGACCATTACTTTAAAAAAATCGCATTTGATTGTTCCTTTCTCTCATTTATTCTTCTAGTTCTTTTGGAATTTATCGTAATATATTACTTGGGGGGGTGGTTCCAATTTTAGTCTCTATTTAAACCAATGCTGTTTTTAGAATAATATGACCTTCAAGCCCTAGCAGCAAAATCTTTGCCTTGCATCTGCCAAGATCCCATATGGGCACTGGTTCTTGACAGGGTTGCTCCACTTCCCATCCAGCTCCCTGCTTGTGGCCTGGGAAAGCAGTCGAGGATGGCCCTAAGTCTCGGGTCCCTGCACCCATGCGGGAGACCTGGAAGAAGCTCCGGGTTTCAACAGCTCAGCTCTGGCCGTTGTGGCCGCTTGAGGAGTGAACCAGCCAACAAAAGATCCTTCTCTTTGTATCTCTGCTTCTCTGTATATCTGCCTTTCCAATAAACAGATTAAAAACAAATCTTTAAAAACAAAAAAACATTACTGTTTACTGAGTTGAGGAGCCACTTCTATTGCAAACTAAAGTACACAAGCAATTAATTTCTGAATTTTATAGCCTATTCCATAAGTTCACCTATTCTTTTCTCATATCAGTATCAAAATGCTTTAATGGCCCAGGCTTTCAGGTAACTTTGGGCCCACTTTTGCTCTTCAAGATTCTTTCCGGATAAATAATCAAACTGTATAATCTCGGGTAGAAATTGGATAAGGGATTATGCTTCAAGTAGTGGGAGAAGTGACTTAGTAAAAAAGTAGCCTTCCTAAAAATAAAAGCAAATAAATCTTTAGTCTTTAAAAAGCACCCTTCTAATTCAAAAAGTTTGAAAAATTTTTGTTCTAATCTATTTTTGTGTGGTTTTGAGGTATTTTAGCTTCCCTCAGTAGGTTTTGAACACATTCTAAGTTTATACGTATGCAATATGGGATTTTTTCCCCAATAAATATTTTTCCTATTTTTGACTATGTGTCAGATAGTGGATGCTATATAAACCTCATAAACAGTTAATCAATTTTGTTATAATCTACGGTATTTTCCCTGTAATCTTTCAAGAATATCAGGTTATCATTGAAAATCATGGAAATGGAGGTAGTTTTAGTTTTGCTTGTATTTTCTTAAAAGATTATTTATTTATATCATTGGAAATGCAGATGTACAAAGGAGTTATAGAAAGATCTTCTGTCCGCTGCTTCCTTCCTCAAGTGACCACAACAGCCAGAGCTCAGCTGATCTGAAGTCACAAGGCAGGAGCTTCTCCCAAGTCTCCCACGCGGGTGCAGGGACCCAAGGCTTTTGGCCATCCTTGACTGCTTTCCCAGGCCACAAGCAGGGTGCTAGATGGGAAGTGGAACAGACAGGATATAAACCAGCACCCATATGGGATCTTGGCAGATGCAAGGTGAGGCTTTAGCTGCAGGGTTATTGTGCTGGGCCCTTTCTTTGTAATTCTTATGATTCAAGTTGCTTTGTCTTGTCTAACTGTATGGACTGATACCTAGAGCACAATGATGCATAGCCACAGACATAGTGATGTTCTCTCAATCTTGGCTGAGAGAAAAAGCTCTAATGATTCTCTAGTGATCATGTTTTTGGTTGCATTTAGAAATTTATTTACCTTCTCCCAGATGTAATTTTTTCTTTCTTTTTTTTTTCAGTGAGAAAAAATGGGGCAGTGCTTTCACTTCCATGCCAGGACCAGCTGCCCTTGGGAGCAGGCCTGCAGGAGAATAAGCTTTACCCTACAGTTCATGGCAGAAAAGCAGTGAGGAATTATATTGATCGCTTGGGGTATTTATTTTAATATCTACTGTATTTATAAAATCATACCAGGTTGTTTGGATGCCCATTTTTTTTAAAAGCTTAAGTTCATCACGATGCTAAAATATTTATGTTCACAGAAGCAGTTAGTTACAGCGATGGGAAAAAAAGAAAAGGCTTTCTGGCCAGCCAGCGTGCCCTGACCTTCGTGAAGTTTTAAAAGTTGACGTGCTCTTGAAAAGCTTGCCTCTTTCTGCTTGCTTTGTGCAGAGCCTAATCTATAGTCAGAACAAGTGTTTCTCTGTAAAAGACTTCCTTCTCCTTATTTGCTTTTTATTTCCCACAGTTGGGGCCATTTGTGAGCTCCTGAAGTAACAAACAAAGCAAAGTAACTCTCAAAGATGTTGTGTTCAAAATGGTAATTGAAATACCCAAAGAAGCACAATGGACTCAAAGCAGGAGGAAACTCGAATATAGGAAGTCTCTTCAGAGCTGGTTCCAATGCTGCCCGCCACAAACACTTTGCGTTGTGCAGGCTC